TCATTTTATGTGTATTTGTAAAATTCCAATTTCCATTACTATAATTATATACATGATTAATATGCACAACGAAAATTTGAACTAATTCGCATCAGTTATAGATGAAATAATTTTCTCAATTTCTGACAACAGATTCTATGATGTCATACTTTACCCATAATCCTTTGCTTGAGAATCAAGATGGCTGACTACATAATAACGATGAAAAGTTGAATATCTAGAGAATGAAAACTGATATAAAAAAAGTGTAAATTGCATTCTCCTACATCTGTGGAGCCTTTTCTTTAGGGGTCATTATGTTGTTTGGATTGAGGTTCCCTTTAAGAAGAACACTCAACTTATTTGTGTATTCTTGTTCTCAAAGAAATTGTTCGTCATTATAACACCATGGGAAGTAATATGTCTGTGTGTTTCCTCATGCTTCCAAGGCTTTCGATAGAGTAAATCATTGGACGTTGTTCAACAAACTTGTGCATCGGAAAATCCCCCCATTCATTACTCGGCTCTTAGTGAACTTGTATCAACACGATCATTACTGTGTTAAAGCGGGAGGGTCGTCACCTGCGCACGCGCGGGAATTGAGTCCCAAGCGACGATAACAACACATGCTGAAAACGCAAAGGCTCATGGGTATACGCTTGTTTTTAAACAATGACACGCTATGGCCATCTGACGCATGCGCAGGTGACGACTCCCCCGCGTTAAATGGAGTAACAGCCTGTCGCGGTTCTTTGAGGTTACCAATGAAGTTCGTCAAGGTGGTATTATGTCACCGACTCTGTTCAACCTTTATGTAGATGACTTAGGTTGTGAAGTATTAAAGCTTGTATATGATTGTCAGGTTGGTACCAAAATTGTTAATAATTCACGTTATGCAGACGACATGTGACTTTGTGCGCCCTCTATCAAAGGCCAACGCAAACTTTGAAGTACATGTCAGCTATATGCTAACGATCATGATATTATTTATAACACTGAAAACAAAATGTATGTATTTTCATAACCGCCATGAACCACTAGTGATATACCACTAGTTTATTTATTTATTAAGAATTAGAATTTGTTGAGTTATTTAATTACTTGGGTCACAAAATTACTCCTGATCTTAAAGATGATTATGACATTGATCACCAGAGACGTTTGTTTTGTGTTCGTGCCAATCTCTTGTTGCGAAAATTTGTGAAATGTAGCACTGAGGTTAAGCAATTGTTATTTAAAATTTACTGTTGTAGTTTTTATTGCTGTCAATTATGTTCGTTTCGAAAGGCTACACTTACTAATGCCATGAGGGTTTCATATAACAATGCTTTTCGGATTTTTTTGGGGGGATATCTCTATGAGTGCAGTGTCAGTACAATGTGTGTTGTGAACCGAATACAAACATTCCCTTGTTTTAATAGAAAGTTAGTATCGTTCTTTACTGAATGCGTTTGTATATCTACGAATTACATTGTATCTGTAATATTTAATAGTGACATACGTTGGAAATAAAATAAATAATAATAATAATAATGAAGTGTTTCAATCACAAACTTTCATAACCTAATCTTATAAATCCTCATATATAATGTACACATTGAGTGTTTAATCTTCGATTTGACTGGTGTGCTGGCAATGCGCATGCGTATACTTGAACTTTGAGCCGAACCGTCAATGTATGACTCTAATTTAACACGCAATTGTTTTTTGTTCACTGGTAGCTTGTTTTTTGTTCACTGGTAGCTACTTGCAGCAACGCAGACGCAATATATATAACAACTTTCACTTTAGTAAATGTTTATTATGTCATATTGATATATTTCTATAACTGCATTCGTATCAAAACATTGTTTCACTTGGTTATATTTATTACTATTAAACAAACAATATGGACTATATGAATCATGTATTCTACGATTTTCCAAAAATCTGATGTGTCGAGTTTCTTCAGATTATTCTAACAGTGAAGTTTCTACACACTTGACGGGTGTGTTCTCATCAGATAGCTCACAAAGTGAGCCGGCGTAAAGTGTGAATAATTCAAGTGGTTGAAAAAATACACGAGACATTCGATCGCTATGAACAAACGGTTTAGTTTGTGGCGGTCTAACAACTTGCAATGACCCAGCAAAACAGATGAAAGTCAATCCGTGAAACTATTTTATCGACAATATTTATATTTGAATAAATATGATTTTTTAAGAGCCACTCTTTGTATATCTGGTATATTTTATATTTTGCAGGTTGTACATAAATTTACGGAAATTAACGCTCTAATACAGTTCATCTCTGAAGTTGCAAAACAGCAAATTTTGAACTGACCATCGTAAAACTGCTGAATCACCCGTCAGTGGACCGCAGCATATTTACATTAGTAATACATCTATGTTCATGGTCAAATCAGAATGTTTGTTTTCAGTATCGAGTCACGTGTTGTTTGCTAAAAAATTACAGATATATATATGACAAAGAGCTTGATATTGTCCGTATTTCTCAGTTAAGCGCCAATCATGCCAAATTACAAGCTCCACTACTTCGACATACGAGGCCGTGCGGAGCCATGTCGTCTTATCCTGGCCGCTGCGGAAGTTGACTACGAGGACATACGTATACCTATAAAGAATTGGCCGGAAGAGAAGGCTAGCGGCAGTAAGTATTATACCATATTAGATAGAATGAAATTTGTTTTCAAGATTCAATGGCAATTCGCGAGATCTGTTTAGAGACTCGCACATGGACATCAGTTCAAGGACAATCGCCCCGAACAAACGCTCCAGATATTCGTCCGGTCAAACAGCACGTTGCACAATCGCTCCTGACATTCGCCCAGGCAACCGACCCTCAAAACTCTGGTAATTGGATATGCAATACTTCAAGAAGTATAAGTGACTGACACATGCACTTCAGTGTAACATCTTTAGTAGTATAATGCACTGTCATGATTGCAATTTTGCGATAATGGCCAAAGAGCAGCATATATCACAACTCGATCATGAACATTTGATGAGTCACGTCACCGAGTTGACAAGGGTCAGATCAGACTTTTTTTAATCCTTGTTTCTCGAGTTTTTATAACCAATTTTTTGAGGAGGGCGGAAAAAATAAAATTATATCTTTTTTCCATTAGATTTGTGTGATTCTCAAAGAATTGTAAGAGAGAGAAGAAATGAAATAACATGTTATTCCATGTATAACCTTGTTACTCATCTGCGCGAGACTTCGGTACTTTGATCATGATACTCCCACAAAAATGCAACTTGAATTTGTTATGCAACGGGCGGTAAAAAAATGAAGATAAAAATAATATTTATTTAGCATTTTTTTGCGCTTACAAGTCGGCGGGCGCGAGAAATTACGCTGAAATAAAATTTTATTTTTATTTCATTTTCGGCTCCTGTTCATTCGGCGGGTTCGCGAAACAAAGGATAATAGAAGTCTGGCCTCATGCTTGGTAGCAAGTTGGTTGGTTTGTTAACACATATATACAATAATTGTCAAGATAATACATACAGTCTAAGCAACAATTTGCAATTGGTTCCTACTATACTTGGATTACAGAATATCCATTGGGTCAGCTACCATGTATGGAAGTCAATGGTGTGATGCTGGCCCAGTCCAGAGCTATTGCACGTTTCCTTGCCAACGAGCATGGTAAGTATTAGCCACTCATATAGAACTCGGATTCACATGATTCCACTCACTAAGACAGCGAGTGTTATATAAGGGATGGATACTTCTTAGCAAATGATATGAAATTATCTGATAATACTACTAATAATAATAATAACTTTAATATGCAACTTGACCATCTGTGGGTTTAGTAAGGTAAAAAATGATTAAAAATTATAATATAACCAATACACCATGTGAGTTGATTCAAGCTCGACCGTCGTCGTCATTTTATATTTTCGACTTCTAAACCACCACCACCTCATGACTTTTGATGAGTCATGCCACCGATAATAGTGAATATTCGTTTTAGATATAATTTATAACAAAAATACATTTTTGGATTATTGTTAAAATTTCTTGAACATTTTTTTGATATACACATTTTTAAGATTTGTTTGTAAGAAATGATATTATCAACTTTGCAGAACGTGTAAGACTTACTGTTTTCATATTTACATAATAAATACAGTATATTATATTGGTATGATTGTAAGCGTAAGATGATATCTACGGGTCTAGACTTCTATTTTTTTTGCATAATAATAGCTAATGTAACAGTACCGTGTCATTCACTAAACCTACATACAGGATTGGCAGGTAAAACGTCATTGGACAAAGCACGAGCTGATATAGTGGTAGACACCTTGGGAGATCTTAGTCCGCATATGGTTAAAATGGTCAAAGAGAAAGATGCTACGAAAAAGGTAAACACGGATTTTACATTCAACAGACACAAGCAAGGGTTTATTTCAAATCATTCAGAGAAGATTCAATACGGAAGCAAACATTCTAGCTTGGAATCGACACTGGATCAAATATAATATTGTGGGGAGTTCACATTGATAACGTGCGAATCTCAACAGTGTAGCCCGGGCGTAAAACAAAACAGATTAAAAACACCTATTACTTGGCTCGACGTAACATGTTTTCGAATTTTGTCCATTGTACGCGCTGTCTGAACATTTTTCTGGGCTCCCGGGTTTATTATCAGACCCGATGACGTCGGATAATGGTAATAATGGTTCACGTTGGTGATCATCACTCGTGTCTGCTGCCGCCAATCTAAGTGATATATATATATATAAGTGATGGATTATATACAGTTATTATAAATCATGAGAAGGATTTATGAGATAAGCGTATGCAATTCTCTCAAGCAAGTTTGGTGGTATGTGATGAAAATATTGTGAAAAAAACTCGTGCTTTTTGCGAGTATTTGAAAGCGAGTCTATTTCGTAAGCATCAGATGAATACATTGCTAACGAATAGCGTCATACAACGCATAGTATTGCTAGAAAAACATTCGGAAATGAAGACAAACAAGTTTTGTCACAAAGTCGCTAGATATTCATATTTCTAGAATGCATGCGATTTCGCGATCTTATCGCCATTTGTATACTTGTTTTCAATTTTCACACAGTCGTCATCGTATATCATAAAATGTCATAACTTAAGCTTATAAATCATCATATATATACACGTTGAGTATTTAATCCTTGAATTGACTGGTGTGCTGGTGATGCGCATGCGTATACCAGATGCGGTGGCCCTCTACACTAGAACACGCAGACGACACACTGAATATGTAAAATATATGTAAAAAAATCAATACCGGGAGGGTTGCATGATTTGTCGTGATCAAATTTAGTTTCGAAATTTTTAATGAATGAATAAATTATGTTGATTATCAATGTCGTCATACTTATTTGGCTTGTATCGTTAATTCAGGCGGAATTAGAAAAAGAATATGCCAGCACTACATTACAAGCATGTTACAAGAACCTTGAGAAGCTCCTCATTTCAAATAATGGAGGTGATGGATTTTTCGTTGGAGATGAGGTAGGAAAATGTTAATCTGCTAGTCTCGACGTTACTATACCAACATTAGGATGATTTATGCAAGACGAGTTTTGGAGAAAAGGTGTCGTTCGCTTTATGCAATTCAATGCATTCTGTCACATTGGTAAACATGGATATGTATTTATGAGTAGTC